TGTAGAGAGCTTGTTAATCGGTCAGTTTCAGGGGAAGCTGCTCAAATCAATCCTATGATTAGTTTCTGAGAAATAGGTAGATAAAGCTCGCCTTATTTGCAAAAATGGTGAATGTGTCGATTGCGGTTCTCAGACCAAAAACTCCGAGAATCCAAAAGAAATATTTGGTTAAAACACCTTGTAGAGAGCTTATTGATCGTGACCACGATCCTTACAAGGTCAGTTACAGGGGAACCAGACTTTTATTTGTTTATTCTGGAACAGATCAGGCTCGTGTTGCTCGAGAGTTCACAAAACTCCACAGGACAGGCAGCTTTCCAAGGACACATAAAAATCGTGGTTGTTTCCTTGTCATTGATCATGACCTTTACAAGCTAAAATTAAGGTCATGTTGATTTTAAAGGTGGAAGGGAAATAAAAAGTGCACTAATGTGACCAGCTTCAGGGTCATGTATTTTAGTGACAGTCGATTTGTCTAAAGACTCAGTATGTTATATTTCTTGCATTTTCGAATAAATGTATCTGTGAGATCAAATCAATCCTATGATTAGTTTCTGAGAAATAGGCAGATAAAGTTTGACTTATTTACAAAAATGGTGAATGTGACAATTGTAGTTCTCATACCAGAAACTCCGAAAATCCGTATACTAAAAGAAATATTTCGTTAAAACAGCTTGTAGAGAGCTTGTTGATCGTGATAATGATAATTACAAGGTCAGTTTCAGGAAAAGCTGATTTTCATTTGTTTATTCTGGAACAGATCTAGCACGAGTTGCTCGAGAATTCAGAAAACTCAATAGGACAGATTGCTTTTCAAGGGCAGAGAAAAGTCATGGTTGTTGGCTTGTCTCCGATTATGACCTTTATAAGGTCAAATTCAGGTCATGTTGATTTTGAAGGTGAAAGGCAAATAAAAATTGTACCGATGTGACCGTAGCTTCAGGGTATTGTATTTTATTGACTATTAATTTGAGTTTTCTTGTTTTGGTTTGTTTCCGACATATCTAATGGTTTGAGTCAGTTTGTTTGAACGATAACCGGACTCCAGCATAATGGAGAGCATGTTAAAAAACCATTTTTGCAAATCGCACAAACTTTATCCAACGGTTTCTCAGAAACAAGTCATAGGATTGCTTTGATTCCATGGACACCTTTGTGCGGGAAGACAACAAATATATTACACTGAATTTTCAGACAAATTGACTGAGATCCATTTCTCATATGTTTTGTGCCTATTTGGTTACTTCCAGTTGAAGGTTGTTCGCTTGACCTGACTGTAGTGCCGTTATTTTTCCAAGTATACAAAAGATTCACGCATTACAAAAAGTCTCTAGACCAGTGGTCGCCAACCAGTCGATGGCCAGCTACCGGTAGCTAAAAAAGGGAATATCGAGAGGCACTATACGAGGGATGTCTTTTAAGTTTTGCATATGGAAATAAAACAACACGGTAGGTAGTTTTAAATAACTTTATTGTTTTTTGAAGTATTCTCCACGAAGATTAATACACATCTGCTGGTGACTTCAACCTTTGACCACGCAGTCTGTTTTTAATTTTCGGCAAAGTAAAGAAATCGTTAGGACTTAGATCGGGACTATACGGAGGATGGTCCAATAATTCCACGTTTTCTTTCGTTAAATACTGCCTTGTTTTTTGGGCTGTGTGCGAGCTTGCATTGTCTTGGTGGAGGATAATTCTTCTTTCGGGGTTGATTTTTCGAAGCTCGGTGATGACTTTTGGCAAACAAATGGTGGTATACCAATCCGCAGTAACAGTTATTTGCTCATTAAGAGGAATTGTTGCAATATGACCCGCTTTTGACACAAATGTCGCTACCATATTTTTCGAAACACTTCGAGAACGGATAACTTTGGTTGGCTTTTCTTCACCTTGGAACACCCAAACAGCCGACCGTCGTTTATTTTCTGATTCATAACAGTAAATCCACGATTCATCACCACTAACAAAGCTGTACACATTTTGGAATTGAAACGGTCAAGCGTTTTTTGACACCAATTAATCCTGGCCGCATCGACGTTTTCCTGGGTGACTGCCGTTTTTGGTGCACCCACCCTGGGATCGTCGCTAAGACTCACCCGTCCACGTTTGAATTCTCCATACCAACGGGAAATTGTCGACTGATATGGCGCTTCGTTGCCGAAAACAGACAGTAACTCAGCAAGGCATTCTTGTTGCGATAATTGTCTCTGAAGGTTGTAATAAATTATGGCGCGAAAATGTTCTCGGTTGAGTTCCATTTTTCTAATGACTTGGTGACACTCAAAAATTCACTGTAGGTAGTGAGAACACTGCACGTATTGTTGTGAAAGAGTGAGCTTAAGATTCAGTACTGACGTTCGATCCGCGCGGCCTACTATGTTTCTATACGCAAAACTTAAAAGACATCCCTCATATAGTCAACGCCAAACAAAGTGGCGTGCACGTCATCAAGGTGGGTGTGTTGAAAAATTTACATTGTTGCCAAACTTTTTGTAAAATAATAAAATTTATTATTTACACATCTAGGTTTATAAGCAATATTAACCTCAAATGAGAACAAAAATAATAGTATAATAAAATTATAGATCTGTACTTGCATAATCATTAAGTATGACAATTATTGATCAGATGACACTATGAAACTACCATATTTAATTGATAGCTTAAAGGTACTGAATAAAAATCCAAATGGGGTCCTCCAAATTTTATGCATGGTATTTATTTTACAGAATTCATACAGAAAAATGCATTCTAAAATTAGGTAAGCTACTGGTGTGAGCTTTTTCTGTACAATAAAGTTAGTCGGAGTTTCTTTCTTCAGCGCTGTCTGAATCTGAATCTTCATCACTCTCAAAGTTGATTATTAAAGGTTCGATGTCTGGTCGATCAAAAATTCGTTCTCTTTCATACCATTTAAAAATTTCTTGCTCAGTATGTCGAACACTATTTTTTCCACATGTCTGGGGTAACCGTTTGTAGAGCCTCGTTCCACATATCCAAACAGTCTTTTTCACTGTTACCATCTCTACCAATATGTCTGTTATAGTAACCTTTTGCTATGCCCCAAATTAACTCAATAGGGTTAAATATACAATGGTAAGGAGGCAGACGAAGAACTTTGTGCCCATGTTGTTCCGCCAATTCATCAATCACGTATATTTTAGGTGGTTTGTTTCTGAAAAAGCAGTTATTTTAAGAATAGGAATAAACAAAAGAAATATAAACTGTCGACCAAAATATATATAATTAAGAAGCATTATGTACCGAGCAACAATACTCAATAGCTATGTTTTAAACATTGTGTTTAAAAATGGTATGTTTTGATTTGTCAACCAGTCTTGGATATTTTTTTTGTCCATGCATTGTTGGGCACTTTGTTCAATATCATGCTGTGATAAGGGGCGTTATCCAGTATAATCATAGATGGACTCTCCAATTTTTCGCTCAATTTTGTTTTCGAAGAAAATATCGCTTCACTACCCTCAATAAACCCATTTTCATTTCCAGCATGTAATATAATGTATCTAAAATATATTAGTTTTAAATTTTATAGTGCAAATTGTGTAAAAGTACATACCTTTTACCATCTGTTTTAATAGCTTTCACGCTTTTTTGGTTTCCATTTTGCCAAGAGCGACCTATGGTCCCATTTTGAAATATCCAAGTTTCATCGAGGAAGACAAACTGGTATAAGGCCTCAACGTTGGCTTGATTGTATTGCCTTAGAAATTCCACCCTTTTCAAAGCTATACTTGGTAGTTCCATGATCCCTCGTCGCGGATTGTCCTTAAGCCACTTAAATCCAAGATCTCTAAGCAACCGCCTTAAAGACGTGGCACTACCATCAAATAATGCCCTATCTCTTAATCGAGACTATAAAGTTTGTATCGTAACTTGTTCTTCTGAAACCATGTGTAATATGACATTATAATTTAGTTAACAAATTAATGCAAATTTCTGATAAGTTATTATAATAAGATCTTACTTTTGTGATACATATTATAGATCACTTCTCGAATGGCACTTGTATCCAATGTCGCTGTGTTGGTTACACGTTTAATATAACTCCGCTTTTTCTTGGGCGATTCTAAATTTGCATCACTTTTCACACCCTCGGAAATACGACTAACTGTCCTTAAACTAATTTTTAAAGCAGCAACAACACGCTACAAAAAATGAAATAAAATTTCACTACTATTAATATACATTACATATAATTATTAGTAACCTACCTCTTGAACAGCATTTAAAGGCAACAAAGGCCCGTTGTTGTCCCTTTCTTGCTCAAAGTAGTGCATTAACGAGGCCACGAGTTCCTTACACCGACTATTTAACTGTTTGGGCATCTTTATATACCAAAATTGCCTTTATCTACTCGTAAAATGAATAATTTTGTTTTGAAACAAACAGTTGTTGATTTACAGTATGCGGGGCCAAAGGATTTATAAAGATTTGAAATGCCACAAATTGATTCAGTGTCAAAATTAATACAAATGTCAGTTCCCAGTTTAAATAAGTTTCAAGGTGACAATGTGTCAACGCTGCGAAATCGGTTTAGTGCGTTTACATGTCGATAAGTGATTGGAGCGTTTGCAAAACATTTTATTTCGCATAATGCGTCTAAATTTATCAGAAAGCAACTTATGTGATATTCTAATAACAATGTTTATATGACTATTAACCATAATAAGAGAGTAATGACCATTTTACAATTTATATATCACATTAATATGAAACTGCAATAGAGCAATTGTTTGTGATAGAAACCTAGGCATTAGGTCGGGGAATTTTTATCGTGATGACGTGCACGCCACTTTGTTTGGCGTTGACTATATAGGCGTACATCTGGCTATCCAAATCGATGTACCTGTGAATATATTGGATATCCACAGTGGAAATCTAATAAACAACTATTTTCTGTATTTTAAAGCTACATATACATTATTACTACATGTCTAGCGATTACTGGTGAGTGCTCCATTACTCATCTCTCCATGTACCTTAGGATAGATCGAACTTTTCTGCGATAGTAGTGGAGCGACACCGAACCAAAAACTATTAGCTAATGTTACTCTTTCTTTTTGTCTTTCACATCCTTCGCAATAGGACTGATGATCCATGCTATCGTACACCTCCTCAACGAACTCAATCTCATCTTCATCGTTAATTTCGCTTATATAGTCATCGAAATTTTCGTCATAAAAAGGTTCGTAGTTGGCGAAGTATTCTTGAAAAGTGGTTTCCGCTGCAGACGACTCAGCACAAAAGTATCTCTGCAAGTGTATGGCAATACGAAGAGTCTTTTATTCTCAAAAGTGGTACACGAGGTACTTTCCAAATTAGTCAACGCTGTATTGCGCAATACGCTGGTTAGAAAAATTGTCTGAATAATGGAATGATGGTAAGGGACGTGATTTTTTACTGTAAACTTGTTGTTTGTGACTTATTTAAATCCTTGAATTTCGCTGAAATAATTGTAAAGTCGGGTTTTATTGATGCAAGTTGTTTAAGACATGGACTCATAAAATGGGTTCAGCAATTTTTGTGGGGAAACGCAAAAAGATCCGACTTATAGTGAAAAAGTTATGGGCGAAAACCGAGATAAAATTCATGCACTTGTTGCTAATGAGACGATAATTTCATGCAGCTACTTGAAATTCTTCAAATCCGTAGGATTCATAAGTATTTAGAAGTAAATATATGCGACAAAATTTTATCCGATTGGTAAAGTAGTTTTTGAGAATTCCTAATTGTTTATCCCAAAAAGCTCTCTTCCGGCCATCACTACTAGTTTACTAATATACAGGGTTTGTTCAAAAATGAATTACAATACGTAACATCTCATATTGCTGCATTTCTCGGCATTTATGCAATGACGCACATATATAATGTTAAGACCTGTCTATTCCTGTTTATTATATGCAAGCATATTGCGTTTATTAGTAGACTTATAGCAGCCGAGTCAGTTACGTTTTCTGTGTTGAAGAGTACTGAGATGTTCTGAGTAAGGTACCAGGGGGTAATAAGGCCCTCCAGATATTAAGGCCCAACGCTGGTTTGCCCAAAGGAAAGCGCCTAAAATATTTATATCGCCATCTGTTAATAATATTTAGTATTACTGTTGCCGGAAATGTAATTTTGTTCTATGGTTACGAGCTTCCTGGCTTGTTCTATGGTGTCACGTTTCGCTGTGCTGTATTTTATAAGAATTTCGACCGGTAAGTAAGCAAATTAAATTGTTTTAATAATACGTAGATTTTTCATTATGTATGCATGATAATCTATGTATCTGATAGTTTCATTTTACGTAGCGTTTCTTTTTATGTTGGGTTTGTTTGTTGTTTAATAACCTCAAAATTAATTTTATTGTGCTACAGGTTATAAGGCCCGGGCCTTATTTTCTACAATGCATTGAAAAAGGCTTGGGCTTTATTTTCTGCCGCCATGAATACACGTATTCATTAGATTTATTTATTCTTTTACAGAAGATGGGTAAAAAAAGCAGAGGGATAAGGGCAAATTGGGATGAAGAGATGATGAGAGAGGCATTAAATTATATTAACGAGGGAAAATCTCAGCGCTGGGTGGAACAAAAATGCGGAATACCCAGATGAACACTTAGGAACCACATTAAATCACAAAGCGTGAAGAGAAAACTAGGTAGACAAACAATTTTGACCGATTTTTTTTTTTTTTTTTTTTATATCGAAACAGCCGCGCAGGCAGAAGCCTAAATGCCGGAACACCGCGGCTGCTATGATGATCCCAAAGAAATTTTGTTAATACGATTTTTGAACTGCCTAAGGTCAGTAGAACTGGGAAAAGCTTCCTCCCGTAGTTTGTTCCACAATCTAGACACCCTCGGGACAAAGGAGCGGTCGTATCGGCCAGTTCTGGATGTACGAAGTTTGACACGGTTAGGATGGGACGCCGAAGTCAGGCGGGTCTGTCTGGCAGGCACATCGCGCGGCGGCATCATGGAAGAGAGCTCTGAGGAGCAAAGCCCGTTGGTGTAGCGATAGAAAAGAGCTAGATCGCCGACGGCCCGCCGGTGCGAAAGAGTCCCGAGACTGTCTGTTAGAGAAGAGTCATCGATCAGTCGGACCGCCCTCCTCTGGACAGCATCGAGCATGGACAGTGTAGTCGGGGCGGCAGCACCCCAAATGTGTGAGCAATACTCGAGGCTAGGCCTTATCTGGGCCTTGTATAGAGTGAGAAGGTCATGCGGAGAAAAGTACTTCTTAGCCCTAAACAAATAGCCTAGCTTTTTCCCAGCAGCTGCAGCTATTGAAGAGATGTGTTCGTGCCAGATCAGGTCCTCGGTGATCTGGACTCCGACCAGCCGAAATGAATGGCTCTTTGGTAGGACTCGACCGTCCATCGAAACTGTATGAGCGCTAGGACGCTGTTTGTTCGTCAAAGTACAGTACTGTGTTTTGGAAGCATTGAACTGTACAAGATTGTTGCGTCCCCAAGCAGTGATAGCCTCCAGGTCTCTTGTCAGAGAGGAAGTCGTCGCTAGTCTTCTTTTTTCCAGCTCAGCGGCAGAGATCGGCTTGTCACTCTGAATTCCTGCATGTAGAGTGCTGTCATCAGCGAAGCTGTGGATTGGGTTGATCGTGCAGGAAAGGAGGTCGTTGATATGTAAGAGAAACAGTGTTGGAGCCAAGACCGATCCCTGGGGAACACCCGCGTTGACGTTGCGGGATGAAGAGGAGAATCCGTCAATTACGACGGATATCTTGCGACCAGAGATAAAGTCAGCCACCCATCTGCAAAGCTTTTCTGGGAGGCCGTAGGATGGAAGTTTGCTCAAGAGGGCAGCGTGCCACAGCTGATCGAACGCTTTCGTGATGTCAAGAGCAACGACATGAGCCTCACCATGAGACTGGATGAGTTTACTCCACAGTTGCGTGACGTAAGCTAGGAGGTCCCCTGTGGATCGTTGGTGCCGGAAACCGTACTGCCTGTCGCTAATCAAGCTGTGACGTTCGAGGTAGTCCAGAAGCTCGCGATTTATGCACCTCTCCATCACTTTACTTATAACAGAAAGCAGAGCTATAGGCCTGTAGTTGTAAGGGTCGGTTTTAGATCCTTTTTTTGGGATGGGCTGTACATGAGCAAATTTCCAGTTTTCTGGGAAGGTGCCGGATTCATAAGATATCTGGAAGAGACGCGAAAGAACTGGAGCAAGCTCAGCTGCACATCTCTTCAGTACAATGGCAGGAATCAAGTCCGGACCAGAAGCTTTGTTGATGTCGAGCGACAAGAGCACTCGTCTTACGGTCTTATGCCTGAATGTTACCTCTCGCATAGTGTGGGGAACCCTTTGAATTGACGGCACTTGGGCGTTGGTGGGGACGTCCATGGTGGAGTTGGCAGCAAAGATCTTGGCTAGCACTTCCGCCTTGGCCTTTGAGTCGAATACAATAGTTCCATCCTGACACGTAAGTGGTGGAAGGCTACTGTGTGAGAAGTTCTTTTCAATCTGCTTGGCCAGCGTCCAGAAAGACCGACTGCCATTGCGCTGCGACATTACCCTGTGCCTAACTTTTATATCATGCTGGGTTTTGGCATTGCGAACCGCTTCGTTATATTTGTTTCTGGACTCGACGTCGGCTTGTCTGTTCTCTACAGTGGAGTTTTGTAAGTAAGTTCTGTGGGCCTTGATCTTCTGCTGGCGAGCAGTGTCACACGATTTGTTGAACCAGCCGTTGGACCCTGGTTTAGGAACTTTCACTGTGTGAGGGATGTATTCCTCCATTCCGACGTGGATAATTTCGGTTATTGAAGAACAGACAGTCGACGCATCCGCGTCAGTGAAACAGACATCTCTCCAAGGAAAGCTAGAGAAGAAGTCTCTGAGCCCCTCCCAGTCGGCATGTCCGTAATGCCAAGTTTTGCGGCCTGTGCGAGTTTCTGCGGCCACAGCGGCTTCTGACCGAAACCTAACCTCCACAACACCGTGATCTGAGTTACCCAGTGGGGACAGGACGGCAGTGCTGTAAGGGGCAGGATGCGTGGTCAGAAAGAGATCCAGCAGGCTACTGGCGTGTGACGAGACGCGGGGGAAAAAAGTAGGGCTCGTCACCAGCTGGGTCAGCCCTTGAGTAAGAGCGAACGCTTCGACTGCACGACCTGCTGCATCGGTCTTATTTGAGCCCAACCAAAGCTCATTATGGGCATTGAAATCACCGAGAAGAACTACCTCTGAAGCGGGGTGATTGATGTTCAGGAAGTCGATCTGGACGGCGTGGTATTCGAGTAGGTCATCCCAGTTATGGTTCGAGGGAGAGCGATAAAGGCAGCAAATAAATTTGGGTGATGTTTTGGAGTTGAGGCGAAGCCACAGAATGTCCTTCCGGTCTGATTCCAAAGAAAGATCCCTGGAGCAGGAAAGACTGCTGCGGACAAAAGCCACAACTCCCCCGTTCTTTCTCAGATTGGAGTGCACCTCGTAGTTTGGGAAGTTGAGATGGTTAATCGGTGCAGCCTCTGAGATTTTTGTCTCCGCCAAGAAAAGCACGGCGGGACGATTGGATTGCAGGTAGTGATGAACAGCATCAATGTTGCTGTTGATCCCGCAGATGTTCGAAAAACAAATTTTATCTTCGATGTTGTTCCCTCGAGCCCACCCTCCACCCGGACATTCCGAGAGTGGAGTGAGTTTACGTCCGGAGTTTTTAGTGCTCGAGGGATCCATCATCATTAATTTCTTTGTTTTGGTAGATAACCGACTGCATAGCTTAGGTGTGGAAACATGCGGACATTTATAAGACACCCTGGGAAAAGCTAGCGGGTGGTACTGCCTCGGTCGACTGGTCCTTGTCTACCACCTTCTTTTTACGTATTAGTGATGTTAAATAGACCTAAAGTGGCCCGTTGGCGGACTTGTACCGCCACCCGGCAATCGGTACTGAGGTATTCCTTAACGCGTGCGCAATCACTTGGACGGGAAGAAGTTGTATACTGGATACAACGACTTCCGGAACAAGCATTTGCCACGGCCCTCGCTCAGTAGGATAATGAAGAGACTGACCTTGAGAATAAAATAATTCGGCTAGCCGATGAAGGTTTTCCGCTAACACCAAAAGCATTAAGAAGGTCTGTGTTCAGGTATGTTGAGCAAAAGAAAATTAAGCATTGTTTCAATCAGAAAACTCGTCTCGCTGGTAGGGAGTGGGTAAGGACTTTTCTGAAAAATCATCCGAGAATATCAAAACGTCGATCTCAATTCATGAATCCAGCAAGAACCCAAAAATTAAATCGTTTT